CCTCCTCTCATTTCTTAAACCGTATTAAAATATATTTCGCAAAATAGCAATTCTAGGAGAGTTACTATTTTGCGAAATGGACTATTTTCACCCCTGCGGTGACAACGTGACCTCTTTCATGTCACAAAAATACATTTAAACATAACAAATTAGTATATCACCGAACATTTTGGCCTCCTCTTATTTCTTAAACCGTATTAAAATATATTTCGCAAAATAGTAATTTTAGGAGAGTTACTATTCTGCGAAATGGACTATTTTCACCCTGCGGTGACAACGTGACCTCTTTCACGTCACAAAAATACATTTAAACATTACAAATTAGTATATCACCGAACATCTTGGCCTCCTCTTATTTCTTAAACCGTTTCAAAATTTATTTCGCAAAATAGTAATTTTAGGAGAGTTACTATTTTGCTTTTGAAAACTTGGCTTTCTAGATAAGATCTTTAGTAAAAAGCATCTCTTTTTATTTGCAACAAAGTTTATAAGGATCTCAAGGCGAATAAAGTAAAGTAAACATCACCAATTACTATATCCGCTTCAGACGCGAACGAGTTATTGTGTGACAACAACACCGTAAAGACTCATCATGTCAATCGCTCAGATTTTTTAAGAAAACATGTTCACCAATGTTCACCGATGTTTAAGCTTCTGTTTGATGTTCACCAATGTTCACCAGTGTTTTTTTTACTAAATATCGTTTACTTTTCTGTATGTTTAACTTCTAATAAGTTGTATTGGATTGACGACCAACTCGCCGACGTCTCTACTCGATTTTATACGTCGGCGAGTTGGCGTCGGCGAGTTGGTCCGTCGGCGAGTTGACTGGTTACCCATGGGTCCTGGCCTTAACTTGTCTGCAAAATGCCCAATCCTTGGGAGACCTAACTGTCGGATGCCATTTTCAGCCATAAACTGCAACTTTCTGGAATTTTTATTTTTTTCTGAAAGGTTTGGGGGAAGAGAGGCGATAAAATTGTTTACCTTCTCAGTATTAGAGGTTCTCATTTCCATAGTGTAAGGCTTCCAGGTGTCATCTTTATCTTCTCCAATACTACCCCCCATAGTGTTCATGTTTCCTTTATGAACATTTGAATATGGGGAAGGATATGTAGCTGCCTGGTTGAGTTCATTGGCAGCCCAGCTCTGCCAGGACATGTCTGCTCCTGGCTGAAATTCAACATTGCACTCCTTATCACAAACAGTCAAAACATTACCTTCTAACATTTTCATCTCTTCAGTGTGCTGCTTCCAGAGGTCATGCATTATTTGATCTTTCTCTTTTACACTTACACAGAGGAGGAGGTACTGGAAGTCCTTACTTCGTACCTGATCTCCAAAGTTCCAGCACACCATACTTCCTATTGACATTGTCAGCTCATTTGTTTCAGGAGCTCCATCATCTGAGAACTGAAAAATAAAATGATTTTCATTTTCATTGAACCAGACAAGTTAACAAGAAAGATGGGGAACTCTCAAGTGCAAATCCATAATCATAAACACCAGGCCAGTGACCGTGCGAGAAACACCTGATACCCCTGGGATCTGTGTGACATGACCAATGTCTAAACTTTTCACAAACTTGTCAACATTGTCATCTGAGAAGCTGAGCTTGGGTAACCTTAAGTCAACTCCAAGACATTTAATGTTACGTGGCAGCCAGACTTCTTTTTCAGCATTAAAAAATGAACTCTGTGTTTTACAGACAAGATTATACTTTCTTCTAGACAAATAACTCTGATATTTAAGTGCCACAGACTGTTTCAGTACTTCTTCTGACTTCTGAAAATCATTAATGGCTCTCTCAAAAATACCCTGAAGAAATCGGCCCCTCTTATAACTACTCATTAATTTGGTCATGGTTTCATTACTTGCATTGGCAGCCAAAAAATCCCATGCCCCATACAATGAAGCTTCAAAACCCCCATGAGTAAATTCTAAAATGTTTTTAGTTTCTTCCCTTCTCCTATATCTAGTGCTCGACTTATAATCATTAATCATTTCATATGATGTGCTAGCAGCACTCCTTCGTCTTCGGGAATAATCCTTCTGCTCCAACAGCTTTTTCACTTTCTCATATGCCTCCTTTAGTTCTCTCAGTGTCTCCTCTGTTTCACTTATTTCTTTGTCTAGTGTCTCTTTCTCTCCTTTTGATTTTTGCAGTGCTCTTTCTTTAAACAAGGATAGGGAATCATCATCAAAATAATCGGACAATTCCAAAACGGCAAATAAATGAATAAATAATAATCAATTCCGTTTATCTTGCCGCAACTAACCCACTTACAAGTAGGAAACTAACCTGATTCCTCCACTAGAGCATCTGTCTCCCTTTGTAAAGCCAAGATATCTTGCTCCTTCTTGGATAAAGCATCTTCTTGGACTTGAAGATGGCGAAAGTTGTCTTGCAGCGTTTGGCGCTCCTTATGAATGTTAAAAATGGGCGATGTTTCCCAGAAACGATTTACTTGTCGTTTCGAATCACATTTGCCCACATGGCCTTTCCCTTTGCTGCATTTTCGGCTTTTTCCGCAACACTTACGGTCTCCTTCAGGGCTACAGATGAAATAAAACACTCGACATTGAGCCTGAGAAAATTCAAGAAGAAGAAATCGGCGAAAACGACGCCATTTACACCAAAGTCCACTTTCAACTTTCAATTTATGGCACGCTCGGTAACTAAACGGTCAAAATTATACTTTTAAGGGAGGAGGACAGGCCATTTTGGGTGTATTTTCTTCGTTTTTGTTCTGTGTTTGTCTTAACAGTGGAGCCCCCTAAGTAAAAAATTGTTCTCTCAGTCCCAGGACTCTAGAAATACAGAAATCACAACGGTTGTGTTGACGTATTGGCTTCTGTAAACCCGTTGCTAGCCGGTAGCGTACCTATCTTAGACGAGCCGTTTCTTGGAGAAGTCAGTCGAAAAACCTGATTTTTTCTTTCTTCTGCCATAAGTGAAAGGCCATAGTCATTCAATATGAAAAAAGAAGGTTAGTAAGCTTTATCCAATGTAAAATAAACGACTGAAAAAAGCCCTTTAGCTTGATGCCTTAAATCAGCTCAAGCCGTGAACGCGTCGTCACGTGACCTCTAAGATAGCAACGGGAGGAATTTACATAGCAACCGACCATCGTGGTTGGACAAGATCAAAGAGCCAATGCCTGTTTCTGGGCAAATGGTAGGCTGCTTTATCATCCAAATTGTGATGTCCGGTAGACTCGAGAAAAAGAAAAAAACAGGAAGAGGTGCGTAGGCGCTGAATATGAATTTGTGGGATAATCATAATCATACGTGTCGAGCACTGTAAATATATATACATATATATATATAAAGTGTAAAATCTTGACTTTCGTAAAACAGTGCTCAATACATAGGAGTAGTGCCACAGGGCACGTGCGTAAACACCATTCACACGTAAGGTCTGACCAAAGTTATATTTCTTCAGTTTTTAGAACTTAATTGAACAATCATGATTCCTTTGATGGCCTGCCTTCTGCTGTCGATCAGAGTGAACAATATTTTGCTTTGCCGACTGAGGAAAAGAAAACAGGGATATGACCTAGACGAGAAGAATCCGAAAATGATTGAAGCTACTTCAGTAAAACACCAAGAAAAGGACAAAATGGAGCCACGGGTGGAAAGAACTTTACTATGCAGACGATCGGCAGGCGTCACAGACGTGTGAGATGTTTAAGCTGTTGAACAAAAGGTGCAGTTAATGGAGCGAAAATGCCTCGATGTGGGCGATTCAGCCGTAGCTGGTGATGATATGATCAGATGTTGTCCAGTTAACTAAGAAGAGATGAGTTTCCGCCAATCAGTGCTTGGCAGCTGCCGGGCAGTAGAAAAGGCCAAAATAGAATCGGCTGTTGTGCTCATCTGTCCAGATTAGTTATTGGGTTCGTTGGTATTTCACATCTACGTTATGTTCTTGTCTGGCTGTCACTCGTTAACTAACCAGGTTCGAAACCATGAAAATTGTGAGACAATTTTCTTCTTATCTTGATGGGTGTTTTTTTTATGTTTTTTTATTTGTCTTAACATTGCTTGCGAAGGCCACCCTTCGTTAGCTCTCTTGTGAACTCTTGACTGTAATCTTCTGTAATAGTTTTATCGCCAAATTACTAGAGGTAAGGTTCCAATAACAGCTTTTGACACAAAAACTTCTGGGAGTACTTCGGGAACCATTAACCTCTACCATTAAATCTTGGCCCGAAATGGTGGTGTCTAACTTCTTCTTAAGATATTTAGGATCCGGTAACTTTCAGCGATTATTATATATACATATATATAACAGATATTCTTTAATTATGATGGTGTAAACAGTTTTTATTTAATAAAGAATATTTTGAAGAAAGGCATTTTAATGACATGTAAAAAGCCCTAAGCATTTACCAATCAGAAATAAAGTCGAGAGAAAATTTTAGTCTGGCTGTAATACAGAATTAAATTGTTCTCTCAACACATTTTCACTTCATTTACGTGTTGATATGATTATCATTACTCTGGTAAAGATACTTTTTAGGATGTTATTTTGCTGAAGATTATTTCTGTCTTGTGTCTCGTGTCACACTCTGCCCCTTACACTCTCTGTGACCCTAATTTATGGTTAAATGTTTATTCGAAAGTCATTGCCTTTCAAAAGGTCCATCTTTTATTTAACAAATAAAGAAGCCTCGACTGTGTTCTATTCTGTTGTAAAGCACGCTGGAAGCGGCTAGAGCACGGAAGAAGAGTAGCCTGCCTGCGAGCGAAGAAAGCACTCGTGCGGTAGCACTGATAAGGAGGACCTGTTTTAAGCTAGATCAGATGCGTGCTTAGATTTTTTCTGAGTTAATGCAATCCACGTTAATCTAGTCTATTTACGCGATAGCAATGATTTTTCTTGGCCACTTCAGCATTGTAAGTATTACAGGATGCACCGTTTTATTCTATGCTACGATTTGCAGTACTTATTGTGAGGAAAACTTTCCTCCACAAAGGAAAAAAAATTGATTCTAAATTTTTGAGTCTATGTGCTTATTTGAGATCTCGTGGTTATCTTCCTACTATCAATTACATAAAATGAGGTGTTTGCTTCAGCGTCAGGGTATCATCAAGCTTCTCCATCGTTGAACTCTGTGATATTTGTATATGTCCTCTGAATAAATTAGTCGCAAAAAAATACGAATAAGGATAGAAATAACGGTTGTACCGTATAAGAATTAAATCTAAGAAAGAATGAACTTACGAATAAGCAGATGAAGGAACGAATGGAAGTTAAGGTCACATCGATAGACGGAAAGCAAGTGGATGGATGAGTATGTGTACGAATGGATGGGTCGATAGCTGCAGTTGGAGATAAAAGGTTTATCAGAAGGACTGACAGAGTGACAGAGGGATCCATGGAAGGGTAAAGGGAAGCATAATTAATAAATGGAAGGAGGAAGAAGAGGGCAGATATAATTTTGAGAAAAGCGAAAGGAAGGAAGAAATGGAAAGCTTCTAAATACAACCATTAATTACCTTCACTTCTCGCAAAAAATTCTTCAGCTGCTGGGCGATCTGCGAAAAGGCTGGTCTCATCAAAGGATTTTCTTTCCAACAAGAACTCATGAGCTCATATCTAAAAATTCAATACAGTATTAGCTAACATTGTCTTGTAACTGATACCCTCAGCATCTGAATGGACCATACCAAGCGTGGAAAGGGTTGCAAAGAGGTGATTTTGAACTCATGACAATGATCATTGGAAAGATCACATATTGGCCGAATGTGACATTTGATTTGATGTATAAATTGTTCTTAAATCATCACGACTGATTCACTTAGCTTAATGCATCGTTTTGATTTTCAACGAGAAATATTGAGTGTCAACGGATCTTGCGAGACTTTGCTCGAAAGGTAAAACGATTTTCAATTATTTTTAGAAAAATCCGGGAGTAAACGTCCATTTTTTAAAGCCTTCTTGATATTCAGTGATTCAACTGAATTTTACTAGCATTATAGCTTTATTATATATTTAGGACTTTATAGCTTACAGTTCTTCCGAACATCGATCGGGACGAGGCATCCGGTATCCCGAAGCAAGTCGAGTTACTAAGGCAATTGGTGATGTGATGTCAGGGTACGGCAACTCACCTGTTTGGCGGAAATAAGATATGATTTAACGATTTCAGTTTTTAAAGAATATCATTTAAGACAATAAGTATTTCAGCAATAACTTTGTGAATAAATAGAGACTTGCAAAGACTTTATGTGGATGATTTAGGTAGATAAAATTAAGTGCAGCACTGTGATAAATAAGATATAGCACGTATAAAATGTTTGACACGAGCACAACCTACACCTGGAAGCGGTCTTCTCATCTTGTTTAGTTTCGTCTGACTGGCAATAGTCATTTCCAAAATGAAAATGCTTGTGTCTATATATTTAGCTTTACAGAAGAGCCTTGCTAACTTTGGGCTGCTTTACGGATTAGAGCATCATGACGAGAATATGATTTGTAGTTCATAAGATGTCGTTTAAGTCGTACATAGTAACACATCACACTTACCACAAGTGGTGATTTCCCATAGAACGATACCAAAAGACCACCTGCAAATAAGCATCAAGGCCTTAGCCCAAAACAGAATTTCTCCTTACAATATCAATACAATATCAAGCAGGCAAGTGATGTGATTTAAAAGGAGACGGTTTAATTTTTAAAAAAATTACCAATAAAGAGATTATTATAGTTGAGCCCATACCAAATTCTCCGAATAGAAGCTAAAGAATTGTGTGGCAGACAGTAAGGAGAATTAACAATGAGATCTTGGGAGTGAAAGGGTTAATAACTTCAGCGAGTAAAGAATTCGAACGATAAGCGCTGAATTGATTAAAGATCGAGTCTCGTTGTATTCTTTTAGTGTTTAATGGATATTTACATCACTCAAAACTTCGTTGAGTCTTTCCTTTTATGTGGACCTTGCCTCTGGTATTAATTTCAATCAGGTAATATGTGCATATGATGCTCGATTTGAAGGAAGGAATTTCTTAAGTCACACTAAGTTCCCATGGTGTGTCCATAAATGCAAATAGGTATAGATACACCATGCATGTACATGTACATGAAGACAAACAAAAAACGTAAAAGAAAGCCCAGATGTAACCATGACAATGCTCCAAGGGATATAATCGAGCGCACGGCAGAAGTTTTTTTTTCGGAAATCCTTTCAACTAGGCAATACTTTCGACTCGAAGTCAAGAGACAGAAAACTGACAAAGACAAAATGAAACTTACACATCACTCATGGATGTAAAATGCAGATCTCGTAGAGATTCTAACGACGACCATCTCCACGGAACCTTGCCCTGTTGAAAAGATAGATTCATGTGAGCAAGTTACTGTTTGTAGTGCAGGCAATGCCCTTTGAAACTGTGAAGCGGATGACTTATGAATCGGAAGGGTGCATTCATTATAGTAAGCGAGTCCTTTTTCGACGTTAAGATATATAATGGTTTGTAATTATTATTGATTTCCAGTAAAAAACCAGAGTGATAGTTACCGTGCCCATTATTGTTATTGTTATTAACATAACCATAGCTTCAGACACTATTCCATAATTAATAATGGTAATAAGACCGACTGGAGTCCAATTCGGTCTGTAATTATACGAGTGATTGACAAATCAGACGGTCACAAAGCGGGAGTCCGATTTGTTTGTCACGAAACTCCCCAGTTTTTTTGGGTAAAATGGTTGTTTCTATAGTTAATGTAATCAATTCTGTGTTCGGTGGACTAAGTTGCTTAAACTGTCCGATTACAGGTGTCCAATTACAGCCAACTGTCCGATTACAAATCTACGGAAAAATTTGTGAAATATAAAGCGCCTTGTGCATCAATCACATTTGAAGAAATTGTAATTGTTATGATTAATTAAGTAAACGTGTCACATAATACACAGCTCATTGAGAGTTTCAATGTAAATTATGTCGTTAGAATAAATTCATTTATTCTGCTCGATTGTACCGAGGAAGAGTATCAATTTAAATGCATTTCAGTTTCTTTCACTTTTCTGTTTAGTTGTTGATTTTGATTGCAAAGCGTACTTACGCTGGAGGTTATGGTGTATATACCAGCAGCGGATATGTCCCTGGCTAATCCAAAGTCTCCAACTTTAGCCACCAAGTTGGCATCAACTAAAATATTCCTCGCTGCTAAGTCGCGATGGACAAACTGTGAGAAAAGACAATGTATAATTTTTTCCTTAGAGACGCTCAATGATGGAGTGGCCCATACGAAAGCGCGAAAGATCCTCAAGGTGTCCTGAAGCCAATTTACAAGCACGTTATATATATTTTGCTTAACAGAGGCTCACGAATGATTGGGTGGCCTAAACCAAAATGCCAGAGATCGTCAATGTGTCTTTAAGCCACTTCAAAACCTCTAACGTTATATTTAGTGCAGAAAGAGATTATCCACTGTCTCCAATCTCTTGAGAACAGTCATCTTTAATGGAAGGTTGGCAAATTTACCTTTACATTTCTACACACTGCCAGCCGGTCTTACCTTTCTCTCCTCTAAGTGCTGCATTCCCATGGCGATTTGAAATGCAACTGTGACCAGTTGCCGGTCATTCAGCTTACAGCAGACATTATGATAATTGTTCCTTTCCCCTGGCGCCCTCAAAAGATTTTCCAGACTGCCACCATGAATCAATTCAGTGACCACAAGAACGTTTCCTTGAGAGAGTAGAGCAAACACATTAGAGTTGACAAGAGAAAGAAATTGGAAGTTATTGGTCGCGATCAGGTAATTTAGGTTTAGTTGGTGCCCAAAAAACAGAAAAAATGTTTTCCGATCAAGAAGCACAGATTTTTAACATGACACGTATTAAGTGTACTTATCTGTCTTTTATCATAAGGTCAGTACATGCACTGTTCTAACTGGTCTTACACACGGCTGAAACATTACCTTGTTACTGTCAATCACCAAGTAAACACGCATATTTCTAAGACGGCATTGCATCGTCGAAAACTGACTTACCTTCCTCTATCCTTGTGCCAATCAAAGTGACAATATTAGGATGTTTCCCAGCTTGCTTTAAGGTCCTTATCTCATTAAGCAGGGTTTCTTTGGCAATGGCACTAGGGTCTACAATGACGTAGAGAAAAAAAAAAGGGAATTTCTTAAATTGCTTCATTTTACGTAGTTCGCTCATCGTATCTGGCTATGGTAACAAAATTACGTATGGAAAAAACTGGCTTGGTTAGGGCTGCAGAAAGTGTTTAGAGGAAAAATGGTGAAAAAATTAAGATGGCGCATAGCTTCGAAAAAGGAAAATCAGTTTAGAGGTATGCCACTGTATTTAGGAATTAACAAGTAGACATTTCGATTTCGTGTACCTACCTTTTAGCTTTTTCACAGCTACATCTGTCATGTTTCCGTCTTTTCCACCATAGCGACCTTTGTAGACGATTCCAAATTCGCCCTCTCCGAGTATTTCATCAAACACTTCAAGATTTTCCAAGTTTTCAGATTCTTCCTCGGTCCCTTTAGATATCTCTCCACAATCCCGCTGTTCGTCGACACCTAGGTGCTTATCAGGTGTGAAAATGTCACCACCAGCAATCCCCTCACCCGACTCTAATCTCTCTTGACCTCTTTCTTTTAGTCCTTGCACCGAATCATCCTGCTCGCTTCCGTCTGGAGGCAGTCTCTCCCCTACTCCATCCCCTACTAACAGGAGCCTTTCCTCGGGGGTTTCGATGGTTTGGCTATTGGGCGACCGATTGTTTTCAAGGTCCTGTATCCCATTTTTCAACTGTTGACCTTTTTTCAGATACACCTTTGCTGCACGTTTTCGTCCCTGTCATATAATTTAAGAGAATAGGCAATTGTGATATCTATCCAAGATTTATCATCACTATCATTTGTTTGAGACCCCTTCATAATCATGCATTTAAACTCGACGAACTAAAATCTCTCGCACTTTGATTTACTAGTCGTATGCGATTTAAATAGCGTCTGTTTTATAAGGAAGGAAACAAATTAGCTGAAATAGACGCACCATCTTTCACAACGATAATCCTCAAATGTGATAATTCTGAGGTAAGTAAGGAATATAGCTTTTTTTCAGATTGAACTGCTTCATAAATCCCGTGAATATGGGTCGCGCAAGCCCCTGCTTGTTTCTGCATGAGATATTTACTGACTCAAAGTGGGGGAAAGGACAATTTGGAGTAGACGAAGTAGGGACAGAAATGGACATTTTCCTAGGCCTTGACTCATTTTAAAGGCCGAATTTTGCCAAATAAGGCCAAACTGACGGAAATCACCACGAAAGGGAAAATAGCTCGTAATAATAATAATAACAATAATAATGATAATAATCAGTTAAATTGGGAAGTTTTTCTCGACTCTGCATCTTACCCCCTTAGGAAACTGCATGATTCTTGGCTGGTCAATCCCAGCATTCCTCTGGACGCCAGCACAAGCAAAGTCGCATGACGGACAGAGGAGATCATTACTCTGTGTGGGGATGTCACGAAACGTATTATTTACCTCCTTGTCACGATTTCTACGCCGATTCCACACAAACACAGTGACTACACAAATAACAGCAGCTGCCAAAGTGCATGATACAGCGACTATAGTTGTCTGAGATGCTGAATTTTCTGGCTCTCTTTTCACGGAGGTGAGAGTAGGAGTCGCTGTGGACAAATTATAAAAAAACACGTTGTTCTTAAGAACAGCACTTGTAGTTAAGAAGGACCCCTCTTACCCTGTTTTAAAAAAACCTAACCTTTGTTCAAGACAGCCACTCCTGATTGGCTTCTTCCAATGCTATTATTTGCAATGCATTGATATTTTCCATAGTCTTCCATCTCTACTCTCGTTATAAAAAGCTGGCTGCGATTGGTTCGCCCGTCTGGAATGACACGTGCTCTGAGATTAGACTGTAAAGGGTATGAAGAATTGTTCTTTATCCAGCGGATTGTTGGCCTTGGGAGACCCCTAACAGTGCAGCTTAAGGTAGCATTGGAACCGATCAGGACACTTTGGTTCTTTGGACCTTCAACGATCTCAGGTTTCTGGTCATCTACCAAATTGAAACAAAAATAATCAATATGAATGAATGCGACGTTATGAATTGTCTCATTTGTAATCTTTCTTGTGGATGTCGGGGCCCAAGGCTTTTTTGCCGCTCGAAAGACCCGGTTTGAAGAGAATTGGACTTAAAGGGGAGTCTTGATGATAAGAAGACTGAGGAGGTACAGTGACCGGGTGAAACTGAAATGACAACTTAAAAAATTTGTATAAACATTTTACAGAGAACTGCTTATTTTCTAGCTCTTGATACTCTGGTGACACTCCGAGAGTTTTTATAATCTACGGAAATGTACACCAAGAAGCAATCATCCAAAAGCCGAGCTTATCTCGCTTACTTGGTGTTGGGGGAATTTCAATTAGGAGACTGAGTTGGCATGCAAGTGGGAGACTGAGTTGGCATGCAAGTGGGAGACTGAGTTGGCATGCAAGTGGGAGACTGAGTTGGCATGCAAGTGGAAGACTGAGTTGGCATGCAAGTGGAAGACTTCGTGGGTTTTCAACTTTGAAGTGATAAGGAAGACAAACATACACTAATGCATATTCATGTCTCACCTGAATCTTTCGAGGTTAAGAAAGCTGGCAGCGACAAATTTTTACCAGCACTGTTTTTGGCCTCACATTGATATTTGCCAAAATCTTCTTTCTTCGTTCCTGTAATAAACAGCTGGCTATGCGGGGTTTTTTGATTTGTTAATGAATTTGGATTATTAATGAATGTTACCCTTGGGTTGGATTGTAGGGCAGATGAATCATTGTTTTTGATCCATGAGATACTTGGCTTAGGAAGACCTGTGGCGGTGCAGTTGAAAGTTACATTGGCCCCTATATCAATGCTTTGGTTCCGAGGAACTTCTACTAACTCTGGCGCAAGACCTATAGGGAAAAAATACATTGCAATAAATATCCCCTTTTATTACTGAGATAACCTGGTATGAAGTCAATTTCATAAGCAAATGACGGAAGAACGAGGAAATATTTTCATTATCACACTTTTATGCCATACAAGAGGATGAACTGCTTATACAGGTACCCAGAAGGAACTATTTCAGGCCAACTCTTCCTTGCCGGGGTGTGAACCTCTTCCCCTTCTTCATTCTAATTATCATCATTGTTTTATTTTGTTTCAAAAAATAATTCTTTTCTCATCTTCCGAAGAATATGTAGGTTTTTTTTCTTCTACAGCATCGCCGGCACCGTATTTAGCGACCACCCCTGTATTAAGCAGTCCCTTGTATTAGTGTTTGTCGGTTGCCAAAGTCCCCAGTTTGTCTCCCCCTAATCACCATAATTTTTAACGGTAATACGCGGTTACCTCTACTTAGCGGTCGTAGTCAACCTTTACAAAGTCCCAACGGCCTCTTTGTATTGCCCTCCACCTGTTTTTAACAGCCACTTATAGCCCAACCACTCGAATAAAAATAAGTATGATCCTTCAAATAATTTTTTTATTTATAGTTCTCTCCCAAAATCGAAGTTAATTGTATCTTTGATCGAGATTCTGTACATAAAGTGGTCAATTATAACAGTGGCTTTAGTGGCGTTGTGTTTGTTTCAATTTTGTTTTTGTTTGTGGGTTTTTTATCATTTTTTTTATAATATCCCTTATCCGTAGAGCCTGTATTAAGAGGTCAACCTACATTAAGCGGTCTCCACCGTTCCCAGTGAATGGCCGCTTAATACAGGTTCCACTGTACCAAGTAATATGAGATGCTTTTGGACAGGTCAATCGAATTGCTCCTGATTCAAATTAAATCGTTATCTGCGTGAAGAATTTCGTTCTTTGAACAGTGCATTTCGGGCCTTGTTAGCCAATGACCACAGCGGAATTTTCCCTTTGCAATGAATTATGAATTGGACTTGCCTGTCCATACATTCCAGGGGTTTCTTAGAAGCTGATTATTCGAGGCCCCTTATTCCTGAATTAAACATCTTCGGCATCTACCTTTGCATTAAGAAACAAATGATGTCTACTTTCATATATTTAAAACTGGATCATTGGATAATGCAATTCAAGAGTTTTCATTGGATTAGCCATTATGGGCTATGGGTCATTTTACCATGTGCGAGCATGAAGACGAATCAAACCGGAAGTGTTTTGGTACATTGTAACGTTCCGTTTGTTCATGCAGAATAAAGATGGGAAGGTTTGTGTACATATGTTTTGAAGCGTTTTCTATAAAACAATTATTCCATTCGCGCTTGTTGGATATGAGATGATTATAGCCAATTCGGCCCCATGAGCCTCGTTGGCAATCTATCATCGCATATCCAACAAGCACGAGTGGAATAATTGTTTACTAAGGGTATGATAAGCCTGGTTTGCTTACCTTGAATCACTACTTCAAATGATTTCCTTGTGCAGTGATTTATGTAACCATTGCCGGCTTGGCAGGTGTAGCGGCCAAATTTGTCAACAGTCAGATTTTTAAGCGCTAATGGGCAGCTTAAACGTTTTTTTTTTTCTCCTTTTAAAGACTGCTCGCACTTAGCTACAACTTTGTTATCCTGTGGATCGTACCACTCGATATACTTGGCATATCTATCCAGATACATTGCATCTTTTCTTCTGGGCTCCGCTGTACAATTCAGGGTAATGGAGGCACCAATGGGTAATGTGCTGTTTTCTGGACTTGAAGAGATGTCCACAACAGGTCTGACTGGGTTGGAGAGATTGAATAATAATAAAAGAAAATGAATAATGCACAATCTCTTTGTATATGAGAAAGATTATCAATAAATCTATCTTACAAATTTAGCAAGTGTAAGTGACAAACTCTTGACCGATCAAGAGTTTTAAAGTAGAATTTTAATGTTGATTTTTATTTTTTTATGTTCCACCCGAAGTAGGCCCAAGGTCGAGACGTCGTCTATTTAAACGCTGGATCAGTCAAGAGTTTATCTTCGTCCTCTCTTATCTACACATGCTAAACATTTTGATGAAGATACCTTTGGATCCTCTGACTGAGAGCTGTTTGTTTGGTAGCCATTTTTCACTTTCTGTACATACACGCATTCATTTAATGTGCATACAAGAAAAACATTGGCATATACATGCTCTTTGACCAGGACGTTTAAAAGAAGTTAACACTACTTACTCTTCAAATTGGAATTGCATGTTTCACCTCTGACCAATGGAAGATTCCATAAAGCACTGGTAAGAGTTAATAGTGCCAAACACATTGACGGTTCTCGAAGACAAAAATTACTCATCATCATGACACGTTGACATATTTGTTGTTTGGATGTTTGAAGTGGCCTGCAAATGGGATTGTTTATTCAAAATTATATAAGTTATTTTCTGGAAGAACGTAGGATACTGAGGGCCATAAGTCAAACTAGGTCGTCATTAACTAATTGTATCTTCATTTACGAACTCTACAAATTTAGCGATTTTACACAAAACTTTCGCTAAAAGGTATAGGATTTCATCGTTTTCTCTCATTTATTCGCATACTCTTTTTTTAACCCGAATACATGATTCATAAAAATATATTTTTCACCGAATAAATGTAGCTTTAATTTTGTCTCTTAACCACTCAGAAACTAAATGAGATCTTTTGTTTTGCTACTTTTTCAAAATTGCCAATAGTGACAAACAAAGTCTAAAATGAACAGCACTGAAGTTGCTTGTACATTTACGAAAACAAAATTAGACCTTACTTTTTCGTTGGCAAGGAAATGCAACCTTCCTCAAAAAGAAAATGAATTTTCCGTGTTATAAAGAACTCCTGCGATGCGAGAGCGAAGTTACTTTACATCAGTGCTTATCATTAAAAAATGGATTGTTCAGCTTGACAAGAACTTTGTATCAATGTATCGCCGATACATTGATACAAAGGGTGAAACTACTTTTGGGGTTGTGAACTTGAATAAGTAAGGTAGCCTACCAAAGTAAACCATGTACTCTTATAATGAACGAAAATAACGAACAATCACACCAGGATTAATTTGAAAAAAATCAAAATTTCTTGTAGTTTAACATTTACAGATCCAAAACAGTACTTTCTCACCAATCCTTCGTAACATTTTATAATTTTACAGCGACATCCTTCTTGGTTTCTTTTCGATTCAGATAATACCATTACTATTGTCATCACAATAATTTATATTTTTGTCATTATCATTATCAGTGTCGTTCTTCTTACTGATAATTTTTCTTCTAATTCTTATTCGCTGTTTCCTTTGGCATCATATTAACCGCTTTTGTTTAATGACAAAGTATACAGCTCACATGTAGCATACGTTTAAGATAGGTGAGCTCGGTCATATTTTATTTTCTCCGCCCAAGAAAGACTATATCTGAAGGAAGAGACATCTAGGCTCGGTTATTCGGCTCATGGAAAATATAACTTCACTAGCCAAAATGCACCTGTTAACGGAGAGATATCCAGCGGCGAAACTGGTCCTGAAAGCGGACAAGTGCCTAAGAACTCTTGTTTTTAGAAGATTGTGTTGAAACTGAATAGGTTCGATTGTCGTCGAGATGCAACAAACAGTCGATGTGCATTTGTAAACTAACTTTAGAGGACGAAAATGATTCACTTGACGATAGCGCAGTATACAATTGAACATTCGTGGTAGTAATATCACCAAATGCAAATTGGATAAAGTTTAGACATTGTCTTCGTATTATCTCTATTAAGTATAATCGCTTCGTTTCTAAGCAGCATTTTAATACAAGTTGCAGCTCTCTCCGAGTTTGCTTGACACTGTGATTATTTTTCATTGCCGGACTTGCCAACCGAGCGTTTTTCTGAACGGGTGTTTCAAATTGCTTTATTTGTGATTTTGTTTCTTTTATGGCTTTTATCTACACATCTAAAGCTTAAAAGCGAAATCGCCAAATGTGAAGTCCAAACAGGCTAACAGCAGAATCAAAATTATTCTTAATATCACTTCAAGCTTTCACATAGTCTTCTCACTTTGCGCAGTACAGATTTTACCGACTTAATGAAGGTAGATATAGATGTAAATGAGATGTCACTATTGAATATTTAACACGCGCACTATTCGAGAAACAATTGACAGCTTTGCACGTGGTCCGTACGTTTCATCTTTTTAACCGATATGTGTTCATTTTGTTGACAAAAATGCGGACCGAGACCAAAACTGTTCCTTCGACTTGATATATTTTCAACGTTCAGGGGTGTACACACACTGATTTTCACATATGTGCCTTACATTGTTTTTTGGCTTACATGAGGAACCGGCGAGTTTTTATAGGGAAAGGGTCATCCGCACTGGCGACAAAACTGTTTAGCTTGACAACTTTTTGCCGAAATGGACAAATTTTCAAACACTCCGCCGACAAAATTTGTCCCGGGTAAAAGCTTAGCAAAATCTACTAAATTAACAAAACCATGATGAACCTGTCTATCATATGTCGTAAACGCTACCATTAGAGCGGTAATTGAACTGGGTTCAGTTTACCAAAAAATTTTAGTAGTTGTCCTTCGCTGCGAAACTCGCAGATTTTACAACTTTAACTTAAGATGAATCTCGGTACTTGGAGTTTTGATCCATTGGCAAATTATAGCGACCAGTCGTATGAGCAGATCGGGCGCTCGAATGTGCCACCCTATGAAGAACAACAAGGAAACAATTTTCATTCAGCCGGGGCAACCTACAAAAGTGGAGTAATTTTCCAGTCGCCGCTTCATCAGACTAATAATGAAGTTGTAGATGTGGCCGCCCAAGATCTAGTTGTTATTGGCTTACATATGGAACCGGCGAATTTTTATAGGGAAAAAAGGCGAAGCGTTGCTTTCGTGACTGGCCATTTGTTTACTTTTCTAATAGTTTTATCTATCGTCTGTTTGGTGACAATGCAAATATTAATATGCGAAAATCAGACCATATGAAGGCTCGAAATT